AATTGTCCGACATGCGAAAAACGTTTCTATCGAAGTGATAAATTTAAAGAGCATATTCAAACTCACAGGATATATATGTGTGTGGAGAGACAGAGAGAGCTAATGATAGACATTTTTGCATTAAATGGAGTTATGCATTAAATGGAGTAAACTTATTTGCATTTTTATATATTCGATGAAGGCAAGAGTAAACTTCCAAGAAAAAGAGGTCACTATAAAATTGAATAAGGTATTTTCAGTGATAGAAAAACGAATCAAAAATAAACTAAAATATGCTTTCCAAATAGCAACGACATTTTGAACATTTTGCAGAAATGATATAAGAAACTAACAAACTCTCGCTGTTCATTATATCTCCGAAATACACGTTTGAACGATTCTTGAGGAATAGTGTCTTCTATTGCAAAATTTGAAAAAAAGAAATCAACCACGACAAATCAAACAATTGTTTCGAAAGTGATAGCAATAATTTAAAGCTCTGCATTCAAAAAGTGAAGAAACGAAAGAATAAGTGTGAAATCGAATGCCACTAGTAGATTAATTTTGCGATGGAGGTACATAACTCGGCTGCGAACTCACAAAATAATCATCGAAAAAGTGGAAAAGATAATCGAAAGTTGGTCTTCGGTCAGGTACCTAAAATCAGGATACCCAACTTGTAAGATGCGAAAAGTAAAGCATTAAAAATAAAAAAGCAATCTTACACATCCATTTTTAAAAATATTTTATTCAAAAGGGGATACAATATGGTACCTTGTCCCAGCACTTCAACATAACTTCACTATATATTTGCTCAGGGCATCCACGTGGCATTGGCATACGATAGCCTAACTCCACCTGCTCGATTACTTCACGATTATGCATTCCTGAAAATTTTTCGGAAAATTAAAAATTCATCAATGTAATCCAAATTATCATGTTATCCCCAAAAAAATATAGAAAATATCACTTTTACCTGATTAAATAAGAACAACACCTAAACATAATGTTTGTAAGAAATCTTAGATACCTAAACGAGTAGGTGTATGTAGAGTATTGGCGCGTTCTAATATTTAAAAGACTTCGAAGCTTTAAAATTACCCGGATAAGGTACTTGACCCTTCGTAATGATCTCATATAGCAGAATTCCATACGACCAAACATCGGACTTCACGGTAAAATTGCCGCAAGTTGCTGCCTCTGGCGCCGTCCATTTTATCGGAAACTTTGCCCCTGTTCTCGCTTCATAAATATCTTCTTCCATTAGTTTTCGTGCTAACCCAAAATCAGCAACCTAAAAAGTAAACGCTTAAGCATCATTGTTATCCAGCCAAGTGTACGACGAAGCAAAAAACAAGATAAAACTTGCATACTTTAACAACGGGAACTCCAGAAATTTTGTCACCAACTAATACATTTCTCGCAGCAAGGTCACGATGCACTAATTTCCGCTCTTCTAAATACATCATGCCATTTGCTACCTTAAAAAGACAATATAATATTAATGTAATTTCATCACTTTCAGCAGAACTGACATAAATAGTTCAGCTGTGAGAAGAACTGTTCCTAGTAATAAAAAACAAAATGAGAAAGGGTTTCGGCAAAATTCTTATAAAAAGCATTTCACAAAATTCAACCTGTGCACACATATCCACAAGCGCTTGCAAAGTAAGACTGCTGCCTTCGCTACGCAAATAATGAAGCAATGCTCCATTTACCATATATTCAGTTATAATATAAAATGGTTCTTCTTTAGTGCAAACAGCATATAATTTAACAAGATTAGGATGGTCACACTGTTTCATGATTTGGGCCTCGCTGAAATTATTGATAAAATTTCCTTCCTAAGTATAAAGCATTCCAACAAAACAAAAAACTCATAAGTTATAACTACTATTGGTTACTTGATAAAAATTATATTTATGAGACTCTACAATAAATTTTTGGGATCTAATTCTTAGGATGAACTTAAGATCATTTATCTATGGCAAGTATCGACAATTCTTTTCGAAATTTAATTAACGCTGGCTAAGCATATCATTGACAGTTATGCATAATCACCCCAAAAATGCTTCTGGTGACATCGTTCCAGGCTTCATTGTTTTGATAGCCACTTCTACCATACCTCGCCATTTGCCGTACCACACATCACCGAAATTTCCATCTCCCAACTTTCGTTTTAGCTGAAGTTGATTCCGCGGGATCTCCCAATTCTGAAACACAATTGTAGGTTTCTCATTCACATCACGAAAAAAATTAAGATTAAAAGATGAACTCACCATTATCTTGGACAAGGATCATCATGTTAAGGAGAAAAACATCTTAGAGCAAATCAGGAAAAACATCAACCTGCTGTGTATCATGGGAAAGGTCAGGACGAGTGGGAGCAATGCGTGGTGCTGGAAAAGATAATTGACAGCAAAGACCATCAGCCACTTCTGAAAAAAAAGGTCGTTCATAACAAGAAACAGAACGTTAGAATATTAAAGGAATATTAGGTGACATAATTAATGCCGCCACCATTATATGAAAAATATATTAATCAAATTTACCTGAATAATAGCTGACGAGATCTCTGAGAGTTGCAAAAGTCCTCCTAGTTGTAATGAAGAAACCTGCATCACCATCCAATCTAAATGAAAAAGACAAAACTAACACAGTTATACAAGCACAGAGTATTTGATCTCTGTATTAATCGACTTCAGATTATAATCAACTGCTTACAAATTATCAGCTAAGATTCACTCTTACTTCATGTCGAACACTAAGGGATTATGAGGTAATTTATGAAAAGGACTTCTAAAATCATAATGGATTACATCATTACTGTACTACCAATAATAATTTAACATGTAATTTAAGCAAGAATACGAACCGTTTGATTTTGTAATGTTTCACAGTACCTCCACGCTGATCGTCTGAATCCCTAATCGTAAGAGCATATTCCCGGGTGTCTGCTTCTCGTTCACGTATAAGAAATGTTCCTTTCGGAAGATTACTCGCCAAAACTAATCTTTCAGCTCTATTGCGCGCAATTCGACCGGCGAACCATCTGAAAGTAGGACACCGAAACTTATCTATTTTATAGACGTAATTATCATATTTCAAAATGTGATAATGCGACAAATCTCGCATATTAAAAGTCGCAGTTACCTAAGTTAATGTACCAACACACTAGAAAGAACGCTAGAACAACTGAAAATACTGAACCGTATCAAAATCAGTAATCAAATGATACAAGAACTTACTCCTCACTCTCCACTGTTTGTTGTCGTGCGACAAAATTCCGCGGAACATAGCCAGTACCACCTTTCGAATGTCTTACGTACCACCAATCTGAGTTGCTGAAATTCTGATTTAGTAAAAGGACCATTTCTATTAACGCTTTATGGGAATGAAATAAAATTGTAGTGAAAATAGTACAACTTAATTATTGTTCAGTGAATCAAAGAAAATACCTCTGATCTAATAAGTACATGACATCGCCTTTTCTAAAGCTGAGATCACCATCTGCTCGTGACTCATAAGCGTACAAAGCAACCAGAACCTCTTTGCCCGGCGTTGAATCTAAAAACCAGAGTAATTGAAAAAACAAGGAAAAATGAAATTTTCCAAAATTTGCTTCCATCGTTTGTTTGTCAAACAATTGTTTTTTTTTTCACTTCATTCATTTCTTAAAGTCCAAAATTGAATCATGACTGAATACCTTGTAAGCTACGACTTTCTTGTCTTCGAGGAGTCAATGCTTCACTACAATTTGCTTCTTTTAATGGTTCCGCGCTGCCACGGTCAGCGGAGAATTTTGGAGAATTACGCTCATTGCGAATGCCCGATGAAGGAGTTGACTGACGCGGTGATCCAGAGAAGCAATTACCCATATCACTGCAATGTTTTTATTATGCAATATATTGACAATGTACATCACAAATGCCGTCTTCAGCGAACGGAAAGTGATTGATAAATGTTATTAAGTTGAAATACAGATCTGTGCAAACCAAGAGGAAAGACAAGGATCCACTGATAAACATTTTATTCAGTGTAATCAAATTTTAATCAGTAACACAAGAAGCTGTCTTTCAAACGATTTAATTCTATCAAAATAATCAATTTGAAATTGATGAAAGGTACAACTGCTGTTTTCTACTCTGTTAACCTGATTACACAGCAGTATTTGGGAGACGAAGTTAAGGAAGTTTTTCAGAAAAATTAAGATTGATAAAACACATTGCAGACTTAATGATTTCTTTGGTGGTGTTTGCTTCCAATATTTTATCCCAATAAAATGTCACTCCGTTTGAGACGAATTCAGTATACGTTGTAGTATTCTTCTCGACAAATTTTCTAGAAAATTAAACTGATTTAACACAATTATAAGAATAATTTTGCCAAGAATAAAAAAACTGTTAAACAACTATCCTGTTAAAGTTGGGCAGAAGAATTCCTACAATCTGTCCCTCTTTCTCGCTTGGTTTTTGCAAAATAAACTCTCAGCAGCATGAAAATTTTGCGCCATGAATAAACGTAAAGTTATAGTTTAGAATAGATAACATATTCTGCACCTGAAGCGGCGATTAATACAACTGATAAACTAATATTTTAATTTTTATTAAGAAAGTAATGAGAAATAGACCGAATAAATTTATATTAGCAAAAGATTTGGAAAAATATATCAAATCTTAAATTGCATCTGTGAGGTAATCAGTGAAAGCATTCGTGACATAAAATCGAAACCATTAATTAAGCAAAAGTATCACTGTTCCTCACGTTGTGCATAACTAGCAATTGAAAAAAAAATTTTTAAACAAGGAAACAAGAAAAATCCCTTTAAAAAGAATCCTTCACCGCAATTGATACAATGATATGTATAAAATGTATATATGATTAACCGTGCTTTAATATCCATAATGCAGAAAAGTAATCCTTAGTAACCTTAACGCTATCAGAAATTTATATATTTGAATCATTTGGAAGAACTGAAGTGGTGAAAGAGAGACTTAAATACATAGATCTTTTTACAATCGTCAACTTTTCATAAAACTCTTCTTGGCAACATGAGACGTCTTTCGTTCTTCCACAAATGTCAGTATTAATGGTACAAAGATGAATATGAAAATGACGAACACCACAATAAACCAAAGTCCCTAAAACGAATTTTAATAGTTATACACAAAGTGCGTTACAATGAGGCCTTCTTTAACAACTGTAAAAAGAAAATACATTAGCGGCATTGACGAATGCTGTTGCAAGGTTTACATTACAAAACTTGATACATGAAACGATTTGCAGACTGTCCGTTACGAAAGCTGTGGACTGATTAGCTTATAATAGCATGAAATAGCACTTACCAAAATAACTATCAGAATGTAGCTGTCTGACTCAACTAAAAAATAATCATAACTACCTTAAAAGTAGTGTCAGGAGATCTCGCATCCACGAAATGAACAGTGTCATCTGTATTTTCAGTTGATAAATTATCCCGTATTTGAGCAATATAAGCATCTGTTTTTTCAAACAACTCCTCGACACTTTTATCAGATAAATCATTATTACTCAAAAGAGGCCTGCAAGATATCTAATTGAAATACTGAAAGGACTGAATAAAAAACAAAGAAACAATACGTAAAATTATCTCCCTAATGTGGAGTTTTTTTACAAATATAAAAACTTATTTAGAAAAAGCAGCTTTTATTAACCTATCATCATCTAACTCCTCTGCCGTTGGTTCGCTGTGATTATCGTTACCTAATAAATTACTTCCGTGTTCCAAATCCAGTTCTTTTCGTAATTTGCTCACTGGTATTTTGATAAATGGCATAGCATAAATATCCTGTTCAGAAACGATGTTGTTGGCCCTTTTTAAATCGGACAGCTGTAAGCAAATTAATTGTTCCAGTTCATTTGGTTGATTAGTAAAATCAAGTAAAACGAAAATATTTGTTCAATTGTGGACGAAAATGCATACCGAAACAGAATACTGTACGGCAATTTTGTTTAAATTATCATCGGGTCTCAACTTCTTCTCGACAATAATCTGTAATCGGAATAACCTACTCATTATAACGCATAGTTGAAAAATCAGTGAGAACTAAAAAATGGGAAAGGAATGATCGAAATTAACTTTATTGCCAATTATTGTCTTATCCCATCGATTTCGACCTTCCCCATTATTCTTATTTGCATTCCTCGAACGTAACTCTATCGTCTCCGTACTACTACCTTCAACAGCACGTGAATTGATCATTCCACCTGAAAACAATTAACAGCAACAAGAAAACATACAAACTTGTATAGACGGCATTAACAATTACGAAATTTTCAAAGAACTGCTATAGTAATAAGAAATCTTTTGACTTTCAAGTTTGAGAGTTATCCATAATTAAACAGTTATCTGAGCCACATGATTTTAGTCCAATTTATGCTTTTTTATATCACAAGAAAGGGATGGTGAACAACATATCAACTATCATAGATAAAACATGATAATTTTCAATATAAAAAATTGATACCTCTTATTTCGAATTTAGTCTTATTACTTCAAATTCCGTTTTATTTCTTTGTTTTGCTAAGGCCTGAAAACATTAACCAATCTTTCCATAACTTATGATTTAATAACGAGTGAACACTCATCCCCACATTGATACTCTGAGTGGAATCCAAGAAATCGAGCTCTAGTTATGATAGAAAGAATTTTAATACGATTGGGAGGTCATATTCAATCTTTCATTAGCAGTAAATCTCTTGCAAACTGCGGTAGAGATAGTTCAAGCAAAATAAGAGAGGTAAAAACAGGTCATGCTGAATCGATTCATGTCCCTTGAGGACCCGATATAGACAGTAAAGATATCACGAACACAGCCTGATCCGTGACGTGTTCCTGCAATGCTATGTCATTACAGCAACTGTGAGGGGGCGGATCGATTCATTGTGGGTGTATATATATGTGTGTGTGTGTGTGTGTGTGTGTTCTATCTGTCTGTGTGTGCGTTCAATTGAATGCTTTCTGAAAGACTATCGGTATTTAGCGCAGCGCTCATATAGATCGTTCACGTGGTTGACTGGTCATTCCGAATTAGTCCGGTTGGTGATGTATTCTTGACAAAAATAGAAGTCTAACCAGAAACTGATTGGCCAGTTTCCTTTTTGAAACACTCCATAAATTGTTATCACTATTCTTATCACATTCTTAATCATATGAAACGAACTTCTTAATTCTCACTATCACTGATATCCATTTATTTCAGGTCAAAAACCAGAATTTACTATCTTCAACATGATAGCACGTCATTGCGTAAAAGCGGCAGCAGCTTTTGCACCAAACGTAGCTAAAGCCAGTACAAATGGCGTCCGTCGAGTTACGTTAATCCCAGGTATTTCATTGTGTTTTCTTTTTTGTTCGAGAATCACTTTCCTTTTTGATGCTGGAAGAAATTTTTATACAACATGAACTTAAGCCAGATAATTTTACTTAGCTTGTAGCTAAGTAGATAACTTTGCCTCTCTTGAGCCAAATGTCTTATATCATTACGTTAGTTGAAAGATAGTCCGCACGGTGCTGATCAGAAAGTATGGATTGTCTTTAAACTGAGCTAGAATAATGTAAACTGAGAGTTTTCATTTTCATAATAGATCATAACGGGATGATTTTGGTGGTCTTAAAATATTACCTTAAATTGTAGATATTTTGTGTGAAAGCTTTTAGGAGATGGCATTGGGCCCGAAATATCATCTGCAGTGCAAAAGATATTCGAAGCAGCAAATGCACCAATCGAATGGGATCCTGTAGATGTCACGCCTGTCAGAGGAGATGACGGACTTTTCCGATTACCTTCAAAGTTCGTTTTCCTTTTGTTGGTAGATGCTGTTGAACCGATTTTCCTTTTTAATTACCTCAGAAATTTGCTAATACTCAGTGTTTAAACAGATGTTCTCAATTATACTTGTCATAAATTATTTTTTATGGACAAAATAGGTGAATGAGTTTACTGAGTAATGTCATATCGGTATACTTTGATGTTCACAGTTTTATTTCAGATGTATTGAACTAATGAGGGTAAATAAAGTTGGCTTGAAAGGTCCTCTTGCAACTCCAATTGGCAAAGGACATCGTTCGCTTAATCTCGCTGTCAGAAAGTAAGTTATTTAATGAGATGAATTTAGTTTAAGTGAATCAAGTGGATATTAAAAAAAAGGGTGATGCTAATGATAAATTGCAGAGAATTCAATCTCTATGCAAATGTGCGGCCCTGCAGATCCTTGGCAGGTCATAAAACGCTTTATGATAATGTCGACATCGTAACAATTAGAGAAAATACTGAGGGTGAATATTCTGGAATCGAGCACGAGGTCTTTTATTTTATTTTGCTAAAATAAATTTCTTGTTTGACTGTACTTCTTTTCTTTGTTTTTATTTCTCCTTTACGGGGAATTCTGACTTCGAAAATGATGTTAGTCTTGCAAATGTGAACGAATTAAACATTTGCATTTGCAGATCAAGTTTTCAACAAACAAAACGTTATTTGTGTACAACAGTTTTTTTTTCAAATTTTGAATTTGTGTTTGCTATTGAAGACGATATGTTTGCGTTATAACGAATTTTTTTACATGTCAGGTGGTTTTTCATATTGTATCATCTGACTTCGTGAACTTAGAAATCATGTCAAGTAAATATTTCAGATCGTAAGTGGTGTTGTCCAGAGCATTAAGCTGATAACAGAAGAAGCGTCAAGACGCATCGCTAAATATGCATTTGAATATGCACAAGCAAGTGGTCGAAAAATGATCACTGCTGTCCACAAAGCAAATATAATGCGTATGTCAGACGGTCTTTTCCTGAATATGTGCCGTGAACAAGCCGCACACTATCCAGACATTAAATTCAATGAGGCATATTTGGACACCGTTTGCTTGAATGTGAGTTGCATGACTCTTTTTTCAGTCACGTTTTTTTGCAACACTTTCTATCTATTTACTCGTATAGTTTCCGAATGATTGGACTTTCTGATAATCTATTTTAGATGGTTCAAGATCCAAATCAGTATGATGTATTGGTAATGCCAAATCTGTATGGTGATATATTATCTGACTTGTGTGCAGGTTTGATTGGAGGTCTTGGTGTAACTCCATCAGGAAATATTGGTGAAGATGGTGCTGTTTTTGAATCTGTCCATGGTACTGCGCCAGATATCGCTGGACAGGTAAAATGACATTTTCAATTATCACAAATAACGAATAATGCGAATATCTTTGTGAAAGTCAAATTCTTTAAAGTTTTTTAACTATTGCAGAACAAAGCAAATCCTACAGCATTACTTCTTTCGGCAGTGATGATGCTGCGTTATTTGGGATTGAAATCATACGCAGATAAAATAGAAAAAGTGAATTTATTACCTTTCTGTTTCAACTTATTTTATTTTGATCTTAGTCAAATATAGTTTTTAAAGTTATGGAATTATTAAAAATTATTTTTGCTGCAGGCCTGCTTTGATGCGATCAGAGAAGGCAATGAGAAGACTGGTGATTTAGGCGGACATGGCACATGTTCTTCGTTTACCGATGATATCTGTAGACGTGTACACGACATAGATTAGTCTTATGAAGTTCTCAATTCATGAATTGAATTTTTAAAAGAATTTTTTTCTAGAAGAGTGTGGTTTTCATTATCTAGTATCTGTGATTTAAATATGTAATTTGCCAGAGCCATCGAACATAGGTGTTTTGTTTTAAAATATAGTCGTTTTCTGGTAGTCACGTTTTGTTAAAAATAGTTCTTAATTGATGAATTAACGTCAATAAATTATACGTATAATTTTGCATATTTAAAGCGTGCCGTATTTCGAACACAATTTAATTGTGTTGATTAAAAATTGTCATAAGTATTTAAGATCTTTGCGCGATAGGTTTCGTTAAAATCTTTATATTGTTTCATCCTATTATGCTAGCTTTACATCTGAAATGTTTTAAATGAACTGTTTGTTGTAGTAATTGTGTGAAAATCCACTTCTTTATTTTTCATATTGCTTATCTGCTTATTTCCTTTATTTGATTAAATTAAGCGCTGAGACAGTGTTCTGGATGTATTCCATTTTCCGGTGTGCAGTTTTTATACATTTCTGTTAATAGGATTGGACTGAATTTCAGAACTTTCATTTTTAATTCCACTTTTTCTTCGCTATGTTTTAGCAATTATTGTTTCTGAAAGAAAGGAGAGCTTGAATTAAAAAGCGGTTGTTCTATAATTATTTACCACTTGAAATGGTGAAACATATTTGAACTAATATTTTCTCGTTAGTAGTCATTATCTATCGTCATTCTCAGATAGCAATTCTTTTTTCGTCTAATCAATATTAAATAATAACTATTAGACTTTTTAAGGAATACACCAGAAGAGGATGTTTTCGTTGTAGAGTTTTGCATTTGCAGTCTTCGATATGTCATATCCTGAATGACATTTAGTTTATCGATTTGCGAATTTTTTCTGTTGAAAAGATGCCGTTAATGATTGCTCTTGCTTAAAGTAAGAGCTTGAGAATCCTGCCGTTAAAAATCATTCTAAAATGTGTCTTTTTTTCTCTTTTAAATTCATCCAAAAAGTAGGTGTACGTTTCGGAGACGTTTTATAACTTTTGAATTTTGAAAGCCCAGAAATGTATATAGACATAATAAGTTAAAATCATTTACCATTAAGTTTAGCTTTGTATTTAAAAGAGGAGTACTCAGTCCAATGAGAATAATTTTTTTCAAAAAAGAGGCAAAAAAGTTAGGCGAATCGCGACGAAATATAGAATCTTATTTCTTAGCTTTCGTCATTTTTGATTGGTTTCCCGTTTATCTCGTAAAATTGCGAGATTTGTTTGTACGACGTTTTTTTAATTGTACGAATTTAAAATGATCATATGATTGAATTCGACTGAGTGCTTCGTTTGTTTGAATGGAGTTGGCTATAGTTTTATTCTGATCATTCTTTGAAAGATAGTAGTTGTAAATTTACTGCTGATATCTCAATGTTGAATATTTGCTAACTTTGAGATAATTATTGCTTTTAAAACTGCATAATTTTAGGGAGTAATTTTTTACGCGTTAGTCTAAAGATTAGTAATACTGTGAGGGGAAATTTAGCAATTAAAGTGTTCTTCACCATAGAAATGGAAACTTTCGGATTAGAAATGAAGAGCGAATTTTGAATGAATTCTCATTATTCATTATATTTGTCTTAACCCTTAAAAAGTAATTATCGTAAGAATCGGAAAAAGGAAGTGTTTTTAGGATGATTATAGCGGAATCTAAGTTTCACTAAAGTTAAAGCTACTTAGAGTTCCTTTTAATATTTCCTAAAGTGTTTTGATTCCTCTTCAAGTACGTTAAATATTCGGAAAACTTACAGAATTGAAATAATTAAATTTTAATTCATTTCATTTATAATCGCTGCAGTTTGGCTTTCTTTTGTATTTTCGTCATTATCACCGTTTTAAATTATACTTTATATATGTATGTACATATATATACATATATAGAGGGTTATATCTAGTTATCGGAATCACACCACAGTAAATGGTCAGAATGCTAAATAGAATTAGCTTCCTTGAAATAATCTTGAATTCGATATTATGTCAATAGACTATTATTATTTTCCTAGTTTAGTTTAGTTTTTTGTATGAAATAAAAGAATGTTCTATGGTAATCTTAGGATAACTTCATGACATCGATCCATGAGTATAATAGCTCTAGAATTGTTTGGACATCTTGAAAAACTATAAGGATATTACTTTGCTGCGACTATGAATTATTAATTGCGTGCACTTTGAAATGATAAGAAATTGGATCAGTGAATTATCGATAACGATGAGGTAGATTTTTTGCATGCAATCCTATGCATTCATCATTTGCTAACATATCCACGCATTTTCACTAAATGTTTAGCTAGAGCTATTCATGTCCAGGAATATATTATTGATCTATTCCGAAAAATTGACTCTATGAGTAAAATAATGAGTAATGAGGATACCGACAATTTAATTTTCCAAAATGTTTCACAAAGAAAGCCAGATGGAGTAAGTTCATTTT